CCCCCCGCCCCGGAATTTCATTCATTAACAAAACAGCGTGGAGATGTTTTGTAGCCTATTGACCATATCCAATCCATATGTTATCCTGAGGCTAGCTAGATAATGCACTTTAGTGAAGCTGCTAGTATTGACAATATAATCCTAAACAGTTCTGCTTCTGTATTTAGCCTTATGTTTGATCAATTTACCTTTAAGCATGTCTGCCCTGAATTCATATACCAATGACCCAACATATGGCATTTGACAAGCACATGTTGATTTTTGTGTTGCCAAGTAAAACCTGTCTTTACCGACACCTGAATTTACCAATACCTGAATTTTCCATCACCTGATTTTTAACAGCATGCTGTGCTATCTGACATGATTTAATGTGTTCCTATATAAAGTCTAATTTTTTTGCTGTCTTTTAATCCCTTAACCCTGACTTTAAAGACATGCTGTCTTATCTGACCAAATGCTTCAGTCTGCGTCAATTTCAGTAAAGACAGGTTTTGCTGTACATGACAAAATATGAGTCTAGTCTAGCTGTGAATACTTTAATTTTGATTGGCTGATGTGTTTTGTTGGAATCGTTGATTACAAGAACTTGTATGTTTTCTACAGCAGTAAAATATCGATGTTTTCTACAACAGTAAAATTTCAATGTTTTTTACAACAGTAAAATCTCAATGTTTTCTACAGCAGTAAAATCTCGATGTTTTATACAACAGTAAAATCTCGATGTTTTCTTCAACAGTAAAATCTTGATGTTTTCTACAACAGTAAAATATCGATGTTTTCTACAACAGTAAGAGTCTCAATGTTTTCTACAACAGTAAAAGTCTCAATGTTTTCTACAACAGTAAAATCTCAATGTTTCCCCAATTGTTTTGTTTCCTGCTTCACTCACTGCTATTGTGTTTCAAGGTTCCCTTTTTGCATTTTTTCTCCTCAACATCTACATCTTGTTACCCCAAACCTCCTTTACTACACAAACGTTCTGCTAAACAAGGTTTTTCTACTATAAAAGTGGGACGTTTCATTCAGTTTATATTCTTCTGTATCAGCTCAGATGTGTGCATGTAAAAATCCGTGGACAAAATATAAAATATGTTTATAATAACAGTAGCATCACAAATGCTGTAAACAGCTCAAAAGGGCAAACCTCAGAAACTTGATCTTTTACAAAACTGCAGTACTTACCTATTTGTTCAGAGGAAGTGGTACTCTGTACCTGTACTTCTATATGTTTCCAGTAAATGCCCAGCAAGTATGACATACAGTAGAGATTTGTTTACTTCAGAGTTATGGCTGCCGTACTGAAGCCGTTCTAACTTCTGAACTAGAAGCAAGACTTGCTTTCCACTTACACAATCACCGCAGCCATTTTTTCCACTCGTTTGATGATTTGGCGTTGATCGCTGGCTATGGAAGGTAAATCAGTATGTAAGTGAGGTTGGACCATTCATTTGAATTCTATAAATCTCCAGAAACGAATAATCAGATATAACTGTATAACTTCTGAATTATTGCGTGTTATTACTGGATTGAATCTTTAAGTACTTATTAACTCCATTGTTAGAAGATTGGACTAGCGATCTACCGTCAATGGTTAACACCTGGTGGAGGTACATGGGTTAAACATACTAAGGAAATACATACCAGTGCTAGTCCTTCACCATAGCTCACAGCTGTGGCCTTGACATTGGGGGCTGTAAGAAGAAAGAGTTGTGTTTGAGTATGACACACTTTCAGTCAGTGTCAGAAAAAGTCAGTCACCTGCTGAAAGATATCACAAAATATCTAGTGGGGAAACTGCCCCCCCTCCCCCCTCAAAAGAAAAAAAGGTTATATATAGTCATATTATAGTGCATCCATCTTTGAGGTGTTATATCAGACAAATACATTTAGGTGTTCAGAGGATGATATGGTCTAGAAAAATATATACTACAATGACATGATATTTGACCCCTTCTGTGACCTTGACCTTGGTGATGCAAACCAAAGAGTTGTACACAACACAATGTCTAGTCGGGAGAAATCCATCTTTGAAATTGATAAAGAAAAAACAAGATGTTAATTAATAGCGTTGTGGCCCTGACAAGAATGTGGGACAGATGGACAAACTGAAAAATTGACAGACATGATGTGATAAGTCAGTGTCCCAGCTTTCTATGTAAGGGAACTAACAATTTACCTCTGTAGCGAAACTAGACTGGGTCGTTCGTCAGCGACCAGGTGGCTCAATCGGTAGACCGTCTGTCTAGAGTTCGGAGGGTCCCAGGTTTGAACCCTGGTCTAGCCGTGCAATTTTCAACACCTGCTACATTTGGCACCCAACGAAATATACTCCCGGAAGGTAGCATAAGGGCTCGTGTGTCTTCGGGGTCGAAGAATATGTTAAAGGAGGGAGGAATATAGCGGAACTAGACTGGGTCCATTGTCGGCGACCAGGTAGTTCAATTGGTAGAGCATCCGTCTAGAGTTTGGCGGGTCTGGGGTTCAAACCCTGGTCTGGCCGTGCAATTTTCAGCTCCTACTACACCTGTGCTGTGTTCAGGTTACATATAAACATTTGTTAGCCTCACACAAGACTCCATGGCTGACAGGAATTTTGTGTACTGTTGAACATTGTTGACAACATTTTATGTTCAGATATAGAACATATCCTTATATATTATTTGTGTAGCATAGTTTTGTGCACTTACTGTATATGTATTGTTGTTTGATATGTATAGTTTGTAATTCCGAACTATTAATATGGTACGTTTACGAGATCTGGTGTAGCATATCTAGACCTGGTCAATTACAGTTGACTGGATAGGCCAGTTATATAACTAGTAAAGTAATTAAAGTTTAGAGTTTGAGGTTCAAATCACAGTATGTGAAAAAAGAAAAAGCCCAGACTGGATTCAAATTCTGAACCAGTAATTTTTAAACAGATGTTCCAGCTACTGTTGTTGACGTAAGTTGTCTAGATTAGCTACAATATATAGCTTGTTTGTTATGTTTGAAATGCTAATTAATGTTTATTCACTACAGTTTGTTTACTGTTGTGTATTTACCTTATTTTGTTTACTGTTTACAGTGCCTCCCTGGAGGTTCTGGAGGACGGAGTTAAACCTGATGTTGTGATTGTATGTTGTGGGGGAGGAGGGCTGGTATCTGGGGTGGCTGCCACCCTTAAATTGTCTGGTCTTTCTGACTGTCGGGTGTATGCTGTGGAACCAGAGGGGTGTAAGTTATAATTCAGGTTGCCAAGAAACTAATTGACTTTTTCCTTATGGGTAGGCAAAAATATATAAAAACAATATATTTTTTATCAAAATGTATATGTTCACACAATGACAGTACAATTAGAATTAAGAATTATTTGAATGTGGAAATGCATTAAACAGATTTTTCATTTATTAATTACACTTTATAACTATTTAGCATGCATACTACTGTAGGGTACACATGTGTACCTACCTAACTTCCGGTTTAGCATGTATTAAGATTTTGTGCTGAGGTAGGACAGCAAAATCTTTCCCAGGTTAGATATCTCTTGTCAAATGGGGAAGAACAAAGTCTCTTTTCTTCCTCACTGTGATATATCCTCTGTAGGGCATTATATTGAGGAAATAATCTAATCAGTAGTTGATATTACATGTATCTCAGAAGGAAAAAATAAAATACACATAGTCGATTGTGTGTCTGTCTACAGACCTAAAGATTATTGAATCAATGTTGCTGATAACAGTTTAAGCATCTGTTGTTGTGCCCTGAACAAGACATTATACCAACAACATAAAACAGTACATACTATGCTGGAAATGATTGCCTTCCTTTTAGAAGTGACAGGGTATTAGTTCTGGCTACTCTGTTGCTTCAAGACATAACGTAGATATCAGATTTAGATATGTAAAGGCCAGTTGGTTTGGAAATACTTACTGATTACCTTAAATGTGTTTGCTTACAGCTCCTACTATGTATGAAAGTTTTAAGAAAGGAGAGGCAGTAACCATACCAACAGTCAAATCTGTCGCAGGAGGTCTCTCCCCACCCTTTGCAGGTAAACTTCATTCTAGTGATGATAAGAATTTTGTCCAAACTAGTGAATTATTAAAAAACTGAGGTTAATTGAACATTGCAAGCCTCTTAAGCCAACTTTTAAAAGTTCAAGTTAAAATGATTTATTGAATTGAATTTAAATTTCTTTTTCAATATTTACAACAATGTATGTTATATTTGGATAATCAGCTTCAATCTTCATCAACAGGTAAATTGACTTACCAACACTGTAGGAGGTTTGTGGAGGATGTTGTCTTGGTAACGGACAAGGAACTAGTGGATACCATGGCGATGTTCTACAAGCGTGGTTTGGTCGTGGAACCCTCCGGATGTGCAGCTATGGCAGCCTTGATTAACGGTCACATCCCTAACATAGCTGGAAAAAAGGTGGTGGTTTTTGTGACGGGAGGGAACGTCTCCCCGGAAGAGATGACAGTTCACCTTAGATAAAAAATCATTATCTCCAGGAAGCTTGTAAAAAGTTAAGGATTTAATAGAAATTAACTGTTTAACTAAATTTAACATACCTTTTGTTTCCTTTAGGTATTGTCTTTATACTAATGGCTATTCTATGTTTTCTTTGGCACTTTGAAAATAAGGTTTAACCCTTTCACCACTGTAGACCATAATGGACTCATCCATATCAATGCATGGCAGAGTCTACTAACGTGTGAAAGGGTTAAACATTTAATATTTTTGAAAGTGGTCAATCGAAAAAATCTTTGACCCTGATATAACAGGATGTTGTGAATTGGTGGCCAGTCAGTTTGCAATTGAAATTTTTAATGAATGTTTCTGTATATTTAATAACTGATGCACTGGCCTCAATTTAGGTTGAAAATCATGTAAAATTATATACATAAGTATGTTTCCAAGTGTAACAGTTTGTATACAAAGTCTACAGTGAGTCTAATTAAGGGAGGTAAGCGAGGATGTGCGGATGTCTTTTTACATCCGTAGGTGATGCTATTTCATGTGTCTATAAAAATCCAGAATTCTTTTACCAATCACATATCTATAAAAATACAGGGGTTTGTTAATATTATACTCAATTGTTTTAATTGAATTTTAATTTACAATCTGATTTTATGCAATATATAAATATTATGATCATGTGATTTATTCATAAATTGAAAACCAAATTGATAGTATTTGTGTAAACATTGTTTTTTAGCTGTTGCATTGTGTGATATGTCCTGTTGTTGATATTGAAATTGGTGATAGATGTTTATTACAAATTTACCAGTGAAATGTAAACTATTACAACAAAAAGATTTTCTATTGTCAAAAATTACTCATTATTTTTACGCTTAACATACCAATCAAATAGCTTGGTTTAGTGTGAAAAATAACTATTGTGGTATTATATAAGCTGTGATGTTTTCTTAAAGTGACAGCGCAATTCAGCATTCCATGTTTCAGTGGTTTAGCAAATTCTATGTCTCAGTGAGTTTATTAAAAGTGCTTTTATTAATTTAATAAGTGCCAACACATTAAATCTTGTGTTAAAATACATACCACTGACCCCTGTGCTGTATTGTGTAATCAGTAATAAAATTGTGTTTTTAGTACGTATTGTAACATGCCTTATACAAAATAAATTATAATCATACAATTGTCACTAAAGAAATTTTGTTTTAAAATGTAAATTAAATCATGAAATCATAAATTTGTCTTTTGTGTTTCATTATGAAAAAAAAATACAATTACTTCCTGTATTGTTAATCTTGTTCATTTCCATCAACTTATCAATCAACGCCTTTTTGTTTATGCATACACTATTTCATTTACTCTTAAATGTAACATTGCGAACCTTCAAATATCGATATAGGCCTAGAAAGTCTTGCCAGATAATGACATCAGATCACTAGTCCCTGTTTCATATGAAGTCGCTTTCGGTCGAAGCCATCAAACAATTTGCATCGCGATAAATTACAGCAGCCATGGTTCACCTTGAAAACACATGAACTGGTAAATGGTGGACTATTTACAACTGTTTCAGAGTCCTTCAACAGGGCTGGTGCATCTGGGTTTGACATCGTCCTTTCCAAGTTAGCTCGTCATTTGATCTACTTTTGTGTAAATAGGGAGAACTTTCATAATTGTAAAGTAGTAGAAAGGCCCGTCAAGTGCTTCTTGTGAAATAGTGACAAAAAATGGTGGCCACCTTGTTCCTTGGGTCAGTCTCAAAATTATAAACATGCAAAACCAAGGACCAACGGGAATGAACGGATGAAATTTCAGAAAGGTCTGTCGAGTACGTGCTTCTTGTGAAATACTGATAATAAACTTAAACTGTCAAATTCAGTATAGCCAACTGCAGCCAGTTAGTTTTTCCAATCATTCTGAAAAATAAACATGCACATCCATTGACCAAGGTGAATCTACAGATGAAAGATCTGTCTGGTCAGTGGTGCTTCTTGAGAAACAGCAATAACAAGAATTGATGAAGGACAGACAGACCCTGGCCATGACAAAGGGCGATTTAAAGGCCCAACATCTAATCATGGTGGGCTATTACACATCAGGTTAAGTATTTAACAATAAACATGAACTCTCATATGTAAAACAAACAGATTTGCTGTCATGTAAAAATATCAATTTATTTACATCTTACAAACTTTACACAAATGAAATTGGTGACAAAATCGTAAAATTATAGCAACCTTTTAAAATATAGTAAAGGTACAATGTTGAATTTTGTATCATTATAAATAATATCACAGTCTGACCAGTAGTACCAACCTGGACAAAAATATTACGTTTTCCAATCTTAATGTCGCCAATAAGTCAACATAGACTAAATTTCAATTTTCTAAAAATGGTGATTTCATTTTAAATTTACATATACAGTCAGTAAAATTTTGTGTATTATCTAAAACAAATACATAAATTACTTGTAAAACATAATCTGTCAAAGCCTTAATGTCTGTTAAAAACTTCAACAAATTGAAGCAGGGCATTGATGATTAAATATTGCAATTAACCAAGATAGCTCCTTCAATTGCCAAATAGCAAATCTAAAAACATGAAAACATTAACTCATTCACCCCTGAAATTTCATAATGAACTATGCCAACCTTTGAATTGGAAGAGTTCAAATGTGTCTTCAGGGGTGAATGAGTTAATGACAACTACTAAGACATGAACATAATGATATGACCATTTTTACAGACTGAGATTTTCAGTCTGATGTTTCTTGCATTGTTAACCCCTCGTAATGGACAACTTAAAGGTTGATGTTAATTAACGCATGATTTGTTAATTTACAACATATTTCATAGCTAAAAGCAGCAACAGAGGTAGGCACACATTAAGTCAACTCATTACAATGCCTTCTCCAAACACCATGTAATACAGATACATGGCAACATCTCAAACAAAGCAAAAATTTGATTTTCTTGGATACAAAATGCTTTACTTTGATAGGTATATAATAAGACTGTACCAACAGGTTTTTACGTTTTTACTCCATACAATATGATTCTAAACGCTTTATCGATAAGTATGTTGAAAGTTATCAATCAGGTGTTCAACTATGAAATGCAACCTAAGAAAAGCAGTGGAACTGTTTAAAATAACCAGCTAATGTTATAAACACGACATGTCTTAGACTGGCTTATAATAGGAACAAGATGGTAAGCCCCATCAATACCCAGCTAATGTTATAAACACGACATGGCTTAGACTGGGTTATAATAGGAACAAGATGGTAAGCACCATCAATAACCAGCTAATGTTATAAACACGACATGTCTTAGACTTGGTTATAATATGATCAAGATGGTAAGCACCATCAATAACCAGGCTAATGTTATAAATACGATATGTCTCAGACTCGGTTATAATAGGAACAAGATGGTAAGCACCATCAATAACCAGCTAATTTTATAAACACGACATGTCTTCGACCGGGTTATATTAGGAACAAGATGGTAAGCACCATCATATAACCAAGCTAATGTTATAAACACGACATGTCTTAGACTGGGTTATAATAGGAACAAGATGGTAAGTACCATCAATAACCAGCTAATGTTATAAACATGACATGTCTTAGACTTGGTTATAATATGATCAAGATGGTAAGCACCATCAATAACCAGGCTAATGTTATAAATACGATATGTCTTAAGACTTGGTTATAATAGGAACAAGATGGTAAGCACCATCAATAACCAGGCTAATGTTATAAACACGACATGTCTTAGACTGGGTTATAATAGGAACAAGATGGTAAGCACCATCATTAACCAGCTAATGTTATAAACACGACATGTATTAGACTCAGTTATAATAGGAACAAGATGGTAAGCACCATCAATAACCAGGCTAATGTTATAAACACGACATGTATTAGCCTTGGTTATAATGGGAACAAGATGGTAAGTACCATCAATAACCAGCTAATGTTATAAACACGACATGTCTTAGACTGGGTAATAATAGGAACAAGATCGTAAGCACCTAAAATAACCAGACTAATGTTATAAACACGACATGTCTTAGACTCGGTTATAATAGGAACAAGATCGTAAGCACCTAAAATAACCAGCTAATGTTATAAACACGACATGTCTTAGACTGGGTAATAATAGGAACAAGATCGTAAGCACCTAAAATAACCAG